GAACATCCGTTCGAAGGTGAGCTAAAGTGAGAAGGCGAAACATTCCCTGCATAGGGTTGTGCGCTGGGTTTGGGACCCGCCACGTAAAAAAACCACCCCAATGAAAACCCAACATTACGATATGTAGTTGTAATTAAATTTCTGTTTTCCCCCAAAAAAATAAACAATATCTGCTGTTGAAAGTCTACCTCGAAATACCAGCTATTTTATTTTAGTAGTTATGTATATATTATATAATAATTATTAGTTATCTACCTATTTGCTCAATATGTATTTGCTTTCTGTAATATGTATAATTTTCCTATGAACTCTTCCTTCTCTTAAAAAATCACTCAGATAATAATACTTCACATTTCACAGCCAGCATCGAAACATGAAACCAATAAGAGTGAAGTAAAACTATGTTAATTAGCTCAACTATAGCTTATGCAATACCCGCATAAGTAAGAGCAAGCTAGCAAGCAAATGATAGCATAAAATAGTGGAATGCTGAATATACATACAGTGTATTTAGAGGTTATATATTTAAAAAAAAAATATTCTTTCCGTCATCAAATGAAAAATATATCAAAGAAAATGGAGTGAAAACTTTAGCCGATCAGTCCTTGCTAGACTGTATGTATCTAAATAATTTTCTTCACCAACGAAGGAAACAGCTTTTCGAGACAAAGCCGTTTAAAAATTTTAGTTAAAAAAAACTCGTACAAATGCACTCATAGCCCTGAAACAGCAGCATCAACTACAAATATATCAGTTTTTTTGAAACTCAGAGCGAATACCCCTTAAAACAAAGCTTGAATAGAAAATATCATAGATGAGTTGACCCATGTGTTGGTTAGTTGAAGAAAACAAAAAAATTTTTGAAACTCCAGAAAAAAATCAGATTCGAATAAAAATTTGTCAATTTCGGACTATTGTTTTCTTAAGCTCAAAGTCACTACGTATAGACGAAACGACCGGCGAAATGCAGAAATGTGAAACCTTTGAAGCATATTTGTCGAGAAGGTTAATTTGAGCTTTCATTGCTAACTTTTACTGGAAAACAAATGAACTGATGTTTTAGGAATAACTTGTATAGAAAATGAAAGCTTCAAATCACATACCTCTTTTCAAGACAAAAACCAAAAAAAAAAAAAAGTTATGAGACACTTAGTAAATATTGCGCACACCGCTTCAATGGACTTAAACAAACATCTGTTGCAGCAATACTAATTAACAGATCATGAACAAAGTTTCGTTAGACTCCACTTGTTCTGTCAGAAAATCAATACACTGTATAGTTGTGTGTACACCTGTAAACTACTTACATTGTTACTTACACGATAATTTCACAACTGCATATCACACTTTTCGGTAAATACGGAACACGTAATATTTCCAGTAATATTTACATATATACATCTGTATTTAAATACCAAAAAGCATCAGCATGCAAATAAAGTTTGACTCGCTCTGCATTTGTTATACATGTTGTCGAGCACCCAGAAATATATTTTTGTCAATTAAGAAATGTACAGGGTGAGTTCCAAAGTAAACAGGACTTAAAAAAAAAAAAACAGAATAAATGGTTTTTTTTGACAAAATCAAATGTACAGGGTGAGTTCCAAAGTAAACAGGACTTAAAAAAACAGAATAAATGGTTTTTCTGACAAAATCAATTTGTTTTATTCAAAATAGTATTTTTCTGCTTCAATGCAGCTTTTTGCACTGTCCAAAAGCTTGTCAAACGAGTGTTTTAGCTCGTTGGCCGGTATGGCCGCCAGTATGCCTTTCCAATGACCTGACCGTCTGCATAACGCTTTCCTTTCATGGGCAAATGCAGTTTGCCGAAAAGGAAGAAGTCGCACGGTGCCATATCACGTGAATACGGGGAGTGGTTAATGGTTAACATGTGATTTTTGGTCAAATAAACTTATTTAATGATGTCCTTCGAATGTTGGATTCTGAACAATTTTTGGTCGTTAGTCAATTTGTGAGGAACAAACCGTGCACACACCTTTTTTTTGTTTTTTTGATGAATTCACGAACAGTTTCGATGGAATTTCCAGTGATCACGGATTTTGATTAGCACACATATTGATCCTAATTTATGTCCTCACGACCACTTTGAAAGCGTTGAAACCACTCGTGCACTCTGCTACGGGATAAGCAATCATTGCCATAAACTTGTCTCATCAATTGAAACGTTTCGGTAAAAGATAAGATTCGATAACCGATAACATACTGACACTTAAAACGCAAAAACCTCACTTCCAATCAATGAAATTCTCTGGACAATCCACAAAGATAGCAGATTCTAACGCACCTGTCGA